AGAAAAGTTCTGAATGCACAAATGACGCTTCGGTGGGAGTGAATCACATCCGGTTGAATCCACGCTGACACTAACCCCTCCGACGACAGACGAAGTCCTAGGGCGGCGGACTTCAATAGGCCATAATTTTAACGTTTCGAAGGGAAAACGCAAAATATAATTACCGCGGCTCTTAATTGTACGTCGATAGAACTTAAATGTGTACAAAAAAAAGTCACTTTGCCATCTCAATTATTCTCAATTATACTCTTTTGTAATTATTAACTATTCAACTAAAAGAGAAAAATAAAAAGGACGATTCCAAATTATTGATTTGTTAAATATATGCAAGTTAAAATGAATTATTTAAGTGATGTTAATACATAAATATGTGTTTAGATACATATTTTTTAACATAAATGCTTTTTGGCTGAGAGATTTAAAGACTTATTAATTCATGAGAGTCAATACTGAGGAGAGATTGAATCGAGGTTTAATTAATTCTACTAAAAGAGAGATTTAATTGACTACTAAATATATATTCTTGGACTTTTAAAACAACTATACGATACTTAACATTTCGCTACAGTCTAATGATTCCATAAAGTTCATTGAATCGTTACAAAACTAATAATTTTGCTCTTTCATTAATCAGAATCCCCAATCTCATATTTTCTACATTACTAGTGATTTTTATAATAATCGTATGTGATATTTCACCAAAGTAAACAGTCAATACTGCGTAAACAACACTATGTTAACAAAATGAACCCATTAAGAACTAAGCAGTGAAATAAGACGATTTTTACACATAAGATTTTTTATTCTGTACAAAATTCACATACCTAGGTGAAAGAAGAAACAGTAATGATAAAATTATTAAGCAAATTCCTGGAATTCCCTTTTGTAACCACAATGTTAAAAACAGAATTCAATACCGTGAATTGACTAAAAAAAAGTGCAAATGAAATGTTGCATTAACGCAACATCGATCCTGAATGGGTTAAACGGGACACCTATTAATGAACTATCTAAAGAAAGGAGTCAATCCACGGTCATTATCAAGAAATAAAAGAACGATAAGGGGAAAGAAAGTCCGGAGAAAGCATGTCGATTTTGCTGTCCCTCTATACGCGTGTTCCAGCTTCGAGCACGCGATATGCGTGTGACTAATCGTAAGCAAGCGTGCACTTCCAACGCATTCGCTTCTTTTCTCTCTCTCACTCTTTCTCTTTTTTCCTTTCTGGCCGAGGGGACAAACGTCGATCGTTGTAAAACTTGTATATGAATGATTGACGAGCCGACGGAAAGGAAAACGGCTACAGGAATATGTCCGCTGATCGGTAAAATACAGACCTTAATTCCGGCACAATGAAAAATTCAATCGCGAATGACTCGCGAGCCACGCCGTACGAATGCAAATTTTATGCATCCCACGAACATATCGGCTCGCAGAAATTGCATCGCGTGATTCCGCCGATGTGAACATGCGTTCCTACGTCTACGCCTTCTTTCCGCTCCGGCGAATTTCTTTTAAAAATATATAGTATCAAAACTGGCGACAGTGTGCACCCGCGTAACAATAGATACAAATTCGCCTTCGTTGATAAAACACGCGGGAACTTTTATGGAGACACCTTCGTCTTGCGTCTTTTCAACATTTTCTTGTTTTCGTCTTAACATACGTGCTCCATTCGGGCCAATTTGATTCTTCGTTGTATTTTCTATTATAGAAATTTGTAAATTAATTTGACACGGATAGGTTACGTATGTTAGTCTAACAATAGGGAAACAAATTTTTTTAACTTGATCGTAATTCAGGCCCGATTTATTTGGAGAAATAATAATGCGATATTTACTTGAACAGTGCATGAGGGTTAAACTACCAATGACGAGTGTTAATGCTAATCAACCTGTTGGAATGGTTCATTTTTATAAAAAAAAAATACAATTTTCACTGGGGGACAGAGTACTCTGATACTATAACGCTCTTTGGAATAGACCACTCCATTTAACTTGCGATGTTTTACAATTATTTTGTACTTCAATATGTACTATGGGTTACTTCGAAAGGGTCACTTGAACATTTTATACATCGAAGCTATTGTGAAAATAATATTCTATTACATCATGTTCCAATGTAAAACCATAGAATGACAACCCAAAATAAAGAAATTGTTTATGAAATAGATTGCTAGTATTACCTGTTAAGTTACTTTAAATTAAAGAACGTTTTCAATTGATACACGCTAAAATTTGACACACTCATTACAGTTCAAAATATTTTTTTTTATGTCACATTTCTCTTTAATCTTTTATTGTATTTACTATTAGATTGAATGGAAATGGCTAAAATATATGAAAACTGTTCTAATAATAATGGAAAATGTATATTGGACCAATGTCAGTTGCAAACTAATAGAAAAGAATAAGATTAAAAATGAATACTGAAAGTTATTTTTGACTTAAACGAATAAACTATTGTCGAACGAAGGTTTAACTAATTATTTAAAAACGCTCTTTCGATTCAACTTTCCTTTCATCGAGGGAGAAAAGGGTTATCATACCTTGCAAGGGAGCAACCCCTTCATTGTAACCCGTTGCAGCGGTCAGTAAGCATACACTCTATGCATCACTCTGATTAATAATTTACTAGATAACTGACTGTAGCAAGTTTTTATTTTTTTTAATGAAGCTTAAAATTTCCAGAAAATAGTGAATATGACAGATCCGAATCGGATTGATAAGCAAATGATGTGCGCAAACAGCTTTGCGAAATCAACAGGTTGTTCCTACTTGTTCCACGTTTTAATTTCCGTCTTCAGAGAGGTTACTAAGAGTGGATCTCTTAAACAAAACGTTAATCTATTGTTACATTTATCATACTTATTATACTGACGTATTTCTACTTATGAAGTATATTAAATATTTCATATTAACAAAGAATATTGTAATTTCGTTAATTTGTTTATATTAAATGCATGTGACAACAAAGTTCAAATAATTTCTACAAATACGCACTTCAAAAGGTATTTTCGTTCATTAGTACATGGGGTTGCACGGTGAAGTCACCTACTTCAACGATCGTAGTTTCATATCCTTAATTTTCCATAAGAAAAATTAAACAACTAGATAGATTCTCACTAGAGTACGGAATTTGTCTTTATAGCACACACGAGTCTCTAGAATTCACTATACCTAAGAGTTTGATAAATTCTATAGAATATTTTATTTTCTTTGGAAAATGGTAAAATAGTAAATAAACTAAATAGATCTTTGTTTAACTCCAGTTCCTGTGAATGAATCCCGAGAGATCTATATTTGCATAAATATCCTCAGTCTAATAATCACATAAAGAAAATTCCCTCTGCATCTGAATTTCAGATACAAAACCTATCCCACACCTATACGTAATCATTATTTTTTAAAAATGTTACCGTTATCAATGTATTTAAAAGTCAAAAAAACTGATTATCCTCAAACAATAACCCCCAATATGTACTAAACAACTATAGGACATCTTGAAATCGATAAAAAAAAACTGAAAAGAACGATTCCAAAGCAACTGTGGAAGACAAAGCACACACAGTATTCAAGGACAACACTGTTCGCCACGTGTTCCCGACCATCACAAAGCAATTCAGTGCAAACAAGAGGGGGCACAATAAACTCGACCCAAAAAGCCGATGCCAAAAACCGACGCGTCACCCAAACAAGAATCCCGCGCTCTTATCTCTCGAGCAAATATATTCCTAGAAAAACTGTTCCTCCGATGCCCATCGATAAACCTTCGACCATCGGTGTACACATTTTTTACCATCCACCCCCACGGTCGTGGTCCGCGGGGGTGAAAGAACGTCGAGTCGACCGGAGAGAGCAAGCGAGAGAGAGAGGGAACAGTTCGAAAACGTTTAACCTTCTCCCATATAATAAGATCCACGTTAAGTAAGATAAAGGAGCGCAGGGAACCGATCAAGGGAGATCAGGCGATACGAGGCGAAGTGTCGTGTTTCGGGCTGCTCACTTAAGGGCCGCTGAATGCAGCAGCCACATCCGGTCCATTCAGCCCCCATTCACGAGGCACCCCCCCGTTTGAGCTCAATGGCGTGGGCGGAGCCCCCCGTGACAACGAGTTGGTACCCCCATTATAAACGCACCACACCCTTGCCTGTCCCACGTAGAGAAGGCCACAGAACGCGAACAGGTATAGAGGAGGCGCGTACGCCGCGGCGTCCAGTAGGTCCTTCGAACTTGGCGACAAATCGATCCCCATTCATCGGTGCCACCGCGCTGTTATTCATGGGATCCGTGTTTTCGCTGGTAAACGGGTTCCGATCCAAAATACCGGGCATTCTTCGGATTAGACACAGCTTTTCTGCGTCGTTTCGCCGTCGAGAATGGGGTAACAATGCACGCCGTTTAGTCGCCGATCGATTCGCGGGGGCGAGTTTTTCTTTGGCGATTCTTTTGTCCAGGTTAGAGATATTGAAACGAATCTAGAAGAAAATTTTACTGAGAGGGCTGTCGACGTTTCGTTTGTCTGCGGAATTTTCGCAGGTTTTTTCGAGTTATTAAATGTTGCTTTTCCCTTACCGTAGGCGGAACGTACGGTGAAACTGGAAGATATAGTGGACGATCATAGAGCCACTGTATGAACAATATGTTGCTTCTGTTTGTGTAGAAATAAAATCATAATATCAAGATTCTTATGCATAGTAATTTTTAATTAACAATTCTTGAATAAAAATATATAAAAAAGTTAAATTGATCTTATAAGAAATACGGTTAAAATCGTAAAATTGTCAATTTATGCAGGTGAAAATTTTAAATATAATCTTATAACGCAACAAAGAATTTTATAGCAAGTACTCGCGTTTAAATATTCTTCCATATGTTTTTTTTTATTAAAACACATGTTAATTGATAGTATATAACAGTGACAAACTATAAATGTAAATATTAATTTTTAAGTCGATATAGTTTATTTTGCAAACTAACCAGTTTATCTTTTTTTGTTTCAGGTCGCATTCTTTACGATATTCCGTGCAAGGTTTGTCGGGACCATTCGTCAGGGAAGCATTACGGTATATTCGCGTGTGACGGATGCGCTGGTTTCTTCAAGAGATCGATACGAAGAAATCGTCAGTATGTCTGTAAAGCGAAGTCTGAAGGGGGTTGCATGGTGGATAAAACGCATCGGAATCAATGTCGAGCCTGCCGCTTGGCTAAGTGCATTCAGGCTGGAATGAACAAAGATGGTAAATTGAAATGAAAATATTGTAAAATTCCAAATATCGTGAAATGTTGACTGGTTATAAGTATAACAATTTTTAACAAAATATAACTCTTATATTAACGACGAAGCTTACAAAATTATAAATACAACAGATGTTTAATTAATATTTTGAAATTCGTGCAACTACATTTATATGAATTCCAATTATTACTGTCTTAAAATTTTGAAGCCTTTCATTCATATGTCTGTAAATTACTGTAGACACGATTATTGTCATTTATGTATAAAATTTCTTAGTAAAATATTAATTAAAATTATTTTATTTAAATATTGACCGTTACAATGCCACTTTCGAATCAAATGATTACCAAGCATAGAATGATTCATAAATAAATTTATCGATGCATAGAATAAATAAATAAATCTGTCCCCTAATCTGTGGTAAACGGTGCATTAACGCGAATTTTCTTATTTTTCCAGCTGTGCAACACGAACGTGGTCCACGAAACTCGACTCTGCGGAGGCAGATGGCTTTATATTTTAAAGAGCCCGAAATGATGGCCAACATGGTACCCCCACCAGCGGGGGCATTAGATCTGGCTTTGCCTAAGCCACCGACCGAACCCCGAGTTTCCGTCGCAGCGCCAACCCCTCAACATGCCCTTCCACACCATGTTTACTGCAACAGCATGGCCATGTCGAAGGTAAGCGTAATTCTGCAAATTACTATCTATTACTCTCTCGACTATAATTTTCAATAATGTGCCGTACCACTCATCCCACACAGTATTTCAATAAATTAAACTCTTATTTCAAATATGAGTTCTTGTAAATTACAATACCAAATTCTAAGTTAACAATTAAATTGATTGAAATTCGTTGAAAAACTTACACTCAATAATCATTCAATACATAAGTTCAAAATAATGCGAAATTGTTATTCTAAACTATAATTGAAGTTGTTACTTAATAATCTGGTTACTTACAAATAATTTGTGTCACCATTCATAGATCTTTACATATACACTACCGTCCTGAAGTTTAGAAATAGTCATATTTTATACTTAAACAAGTAATTCTTTGTTAATATGTTAAATGTTAACGTGTTCTGACTACTTTGCAGAAAAAACTCCTTTTTCTAACCACATTTCTTAAAAGATCTGTATTTTATCACATTTTCCTCATGTACGCGTCTTTTTAATTTGGTCTGCCACTCAACTCTGACAGTATCTCAAAGAAAATAGGAAAATTTACACATAGAATGTTTTAAGAAACTAATATACAGAATGCTCAGAATTTATTTAGAAATTATTAAAAATAAAAATGGTTGCTTCGATGCGGCAGAAATTTGATAGATCAGTTTTTTTGTTACTTTTATGCTAATGTTATCATATATGATAGATTGTAATAAAAGATCAGTAACTTTACTGTTTAAGATTCGATTAAACTGCTTCCAAACTTTTGAACGGTAGCATACATTATGATTTACAATTACAAACATGAAATGGAATCGAATCCCTAAGATCACGTCCCACAAACTTCTCCTTCGATGAGCTATATGAACATGTCATAACATCCAATATTAATCTACAGAGGTCTGAGTACCAACTTTCATTTTTACCAGAGTCCAAAAGAAAACCATACATTCTATTCGCAATTCGTCAAACACCCGTCAAAACCCAACGAAACACCATCTGCTTTTAAGACCACAACATAAAAACGTCCTTAATCTTCCAGATCCCAGTAAGCGTTGCTGGTCTGTCGTCCGTGCCGCTGATGCCCGCGATAACCGCGGAGTCCATCTGCGAGCAAGCAGCAAGGTTACTATTCCTAAACGTTCATTGGGCGCGGGACCTAGCGGCTGGAACGAACCTGGCCATGGAGGACCAGCTTACTTTGCTGGAGTCCTCTTGGAGAGAATTGTTCCTGCTCGCGGCCGCCCAAATTCTCCCGACATTGGACCCATCTGCGCTTCTTCCTCCTGGTCCTCAGAGTCTAGGGTTGGCGGTCGAAGTGAATCGATTCAGAGAAACATTGGCTGGTTTCCACGCGATGAACCTGGACCAGCACGAATTCGCCTGCATCAGGGCGATCGTGCTGTTCAAGGCTGGCTTGGACAGTGAGCCACTACCGAGTAGCAGGAGCAGCAACGGATCAGCGTCCCCTGGTACCGGAAGTAGGCTCAGAGACGCGGCTGCTGTGGCGAGATTAAGAGACGGAGCGCAACTTGCTCTTGGACAGAGGCTCAGCGGCGCTTCCTTTGGCGCCTTAAGGTTTGGGAAATTATTGTTGCTGCTGCCATCGCTTCGTTCCGTGTCCACCCACGCGATCGAGGAGCTGTTCTTCAGAAGGACCATCGGCATCATCCCCATCGAGAGGATCATTTGCGATATGTACAAAGCTGCTTGAACATGGAAACGGTGACGAACTTGGAGAAAGTTGGTTGTCATGTTCACGCGTTGAGAAGTTTAAAGCCTTCTGTGATGTAGAAGGAATCTGATAGATGTTGATGAAACGTAAGGAGCTCGGCTGTTGAAATGGTTGAAGTTTCTGATGTTAACGTTCGGGACAGAGGGTGAGGAGGAGCATATAATTAGAGTTGTATGAAGTGTAGACAATTTTTTAATGAAATCGAAAGTACTCGGGCGGTTACTGTTGTTGGATCTACAACAGATTGATAGAGTTTAAGAAGGCCTATGAAAAAATATATGGTCGATATAGGTTTGGAGATTACAGTTCGAGCTCGTAAGAAAATGTACTACCATTTCTGAAAATGTTTGTTCCTCTGAAACAGGACAATTTTTAAAGGGTTCTTACGTTTTTTTGTTTCAAAGACGTGCATTACACATTTTAGGACATTGTGCTGTAAGCTAGGGAGTCTTGAAAAGCAATATCTCTTCTTCTGAGGAACCTTGCTAATGTTCATGCAGATAATTAAACGAAATCGTGTAATTATGTGCAAAAGTGATAGAATTATGTATAAGTGTAAATTCATTTAATGGACAGGATAAATTGAGAAGATCGTATAGTTTGGTCAACTCAGTCTGGAATCGGTAAAAAAAACAATCAGTTGTAGGTCGTAAAGGAAAGAAATTTGAGAACAAGAAAACTAGTAGTTTCGGAAGACTGCTAATTAAATAGCGTGTGATCCCAGACTCGGTTAACTAAACCATATGGAAAATCAGCTGTGATGAAAACATATCACAAAGAAAATGGATACACGATGACAAAGAAATTTTTTGACTGTGGGACGAAACAAACACTTCGATTATTTTTATATTATTTTATTATACTGACATAAAGGTTCGTACAAGGTACGAACAATCGCAATAAATCAGCAGCTGTCAGAAACTGCACTAATTAGCTACTTTAACAGTTTTACGTTTTACTCGAGCGGTAAATTATTGTACTTAAAACAAATCAAAAGGAACGTTTTAATTCAAGAGATTAGAATCCTTAGGATAGTTATAATATTTACGAAATGTACTTTCTTTTTAGTCGCATCCGTGGCAATATAAAACTATTTTGAATTAATAAAATTTCATTGTCAATACGAGGGTATCGAGGTGTAGGTGTAATTAGAGACTCTAATTAGATCTTACGGTGACTGAGGAAAATGATTAATTAAGTAAGGACGAATGATTGGAATTACCTGTACAAATGTATTATACTGTTCGACTGTATGAATCGATGTTAGCAATGATTAGTTTGAATATACGAGGATGATATTATTGCGCCACTGCCGCGCGTCAAATTGTACATAAAGCTTTAAAGCCATGTAAATAAAATGTTACAAATCACAAATGCATACATTCATAATCCGTCACTTAATTCCTTTTTCAAAACAAAAGTACTGATTACGCCTAATATTTTGCTCAAAAGGATTTACGCCAAATAAAATAAAGGCATCAGAAAGTAATAGTTACAAAATTGTCTAAAATCAAGCATTTGTAATTGCATATTTTTTCTGCAGACCAAATTAATCCTACAATAAAAAATTTTTTAAATATCTGATCTATAAAAAAATCCTATATTTAAAAAATTACGGATATAGTTATCGTTAATGTTTCCTATGTGAAAAAACATAGAAAATATACGAAAGCAGAGGTTCGTTCACGAAAAAATTTCGAAACGTTCTACAGCTCGTGAAGTAGAATAGTTTCTCGGGTACAACAAGAACATCTAAATTTTACCTGTATTTCCGCGGCACAATGAAACGCATTTCACGGGAATTTCACGGTGATTTGAGTGGTAATCGCAGCACAAAGGTTGCCCGCGTCGAAGTTCCTCGGGGGCTGTCAGTATATTTAGAGGTATTTCCTACCGCGGTAGACCAAGGTGTAATCACTAAGGCGGGTAAATAATCATCTTGGTTGATCGGTGAGAAAGCATTCGAAACATGGAATGGAAGTCGGCTGGCAAAGTCTGCATCGAGTTCTTTGTCAGCGAATGTCATGCACCCCCCTCCCCCCAAGGAGAAAATACATTCTGTTATTTTTAACGATGATCCCTGGATCAATGATCCTTTTCGGACTGATTGTTCGACGACACAATCAAGTGTACGTAGCCGGTCATTGTGCAAGGATATTTATTTATTGGGACTTCTCGCGGTGTAATTGAACTTATTTTAGAGATTTACTGTAGCTTTCAGTGGTGATCTTCGGCCGAATAATTTAATACAGAAAGAAACTAAGTTGTAACATGTCCAGTTTTTCTTAATTTTGTTAGAGAAACGAGAAGACAGATGTTACTTTATTCACGTGTTAATATCCAGAATATTTATAATATTAAAATGCTGTCTCTGTTTTAATCCTTCGTGGGCAATGTGAGTTATCGACGACCCAAACGAAATCCCATTGTTCTCGAACTTTCCTTCGAATTTGGTTTTTATTAAAAAATCGTTTCAAACGGCTGACGTCATGAACGATTGTATAATGTAGTAGAGTCTTTGACGAGGATCTCAGAATTTTTTCAGACTTTTTCAAAGTCTAGAACAGTAAAAAAGTTAAGCTTGGGCATAAACAACCCAGTTTGCCTACGAAGTGATTAATAATATAGTTCTGTATGGAGAAAATAAAACTATTAAACAATTTATCTTTTAGAATCCTCATTTCCCTTCAGACAAAACTTCCGTTTGGATAAAGGAATCAACTGTTAACAGTAACACCCGTTTCTAAGGAGAATTAAAATATTTGTGTTGGTAATTCTTCAAACAGTATAAATTATTCACATTATCAATTTGAATTAAATAATGTATGTAAAATATATTAGTCGAAGCAAAAAAATGCTAAACGTTTAATATTTGCAAGCCTTTCGTTTCAAGTGATCACGTAATATTTATAGTGAGTAATGACTAACAAGATGTGGTACAAGTTCCTAGGTGTATAGAATGTAAAAGTAAAATAATTCAAACAAGTGTCATTTAAACTGCTTATAACTTTCGTCGTTTTTATGTAAATTACCGTTGGTTGTAACGTAACGATATGTCTGTAAAGACGAATAAGTATCAAAAATATTCTCACGGACGCTTTCGTCGAGGAAACGAAATGAAAGAGCGATGCGGGATGAAACATTTTTCAGCGCTAGCTCCGACCGTGTTCAAGTGACTCTTCTGATTCGCATGACTGAGCTCTGAAATGTTGGCACTTAACAGTCACAGCGTTTCTTTGCACGTAAATCTGTTTACATTGATAGGTGCCAGCTTAATTCCCCAGACACTCGAAGTTCAATGAAATAGAGTTCGTTTTGAATTATTTTCGGGGAAAACTGTAATCTTCGAGCAAGTTTCCAAACTGTTACAGCGAATCAAAGATATTTAAATAGATCATAAGAGTATTTTTTTTAAATAAATGGCTGTTCGTGATGGCAATCGTGAAAAGGAGATTGGCTATTTGAAAATGTGAAGAAAGTATATACTCGCCCATCGATGGCCACAGAAGCAAGGGACCATTCGTGCCACCTTAAAGCTCGGATAAAAGGTGACCATTGAGGCCCCACGGGCTCAAGGCTCAAGGATTTTGGATTCGAACATTGTACGCTGACAAATTACTCAGGTAAACAGTCCGCCCAAAAGTATCGGTGAACATTGCCCGTAAGGGAGCTGCCGCTCGACGCAGACAGTTCGCAGAAATTTTTTGGGACTAGCAGATGTAAATAATGCTTCTACGGGCGCGCTACGAGATCCTTTAAACATGATGAGGAAACAAAGCAACCGATACGGTGGTTACTGAGAAACCAAAGTATCACCTTTAGGCCCTATTCCTTCGAAATTTCGATGAGAATCCAAACTATTTATTTTAGAAATATATTGATCTTCAAACGTAAATTAAGAAAATTAAGAAGCTTTCCTAGATAGTCCGAAAAGAAAATAATGGCAAGTAATAAAATAGATGTCACATAAAATTGTAAACAATTTCTGGTTTATGATGGCTACGCATGTTGTTTATTCGGATGAAGAAATATTACAAAAGAACTTTTAACGGAAATTAATTCAGTTTCATGATAAAGGTACACTTACTGAGACATTTAAAATTTCTAAATAAAATAGATATTGTTCTCATTGTAAAAAGTGGTGAATGGAATTTTGCAAAACAGTGAAGAGTGTTTAAAATTAATTAATAATGGACTTTTTATGCAAATATAGAACTTTATGAATTAATTTTTCGAAACTGGAGGTAAGGAAAACGTTTATTTGCCTCAAGGGTTACAGGAGGTTCAAAATAAAAAAGAAAACCTGAATAAAGTTTATGAAACTTTTTATTATACTTAATGTTAGACGGTCGAATATTCTATAAATGCATAAACCGCAGTCTAATTTTTGGGTACTTATTTGACATAAAAACAGGAATAAAAAGTAGACACTAAATGTATCATATTATTTGTTGAAAAATTAATCAATTTATGTTAGAATAAATTTAGCTCTAATGCATATTATTTACCACTTGAATAAAATTATCTGAAGCAGATTACTCATGCCCTTCGACCAAAGTAATTTTATTTTCTTACTCAACTTCTAATAAATAAATTTTCAATTGTATTTTCCACTTGAATAATAATCCCAATAAAACAATTTTGGGAACTATGTCTAATACCTTTCTCTGAATTCTAGAACAGAAATATTTAATAATGATAGCATAATTTAACAATACCATCAATGTTACACTATTCCTAGTTCAATTTTATTTCTTTATATACATTACTTTAAATAAATGCCCAAGTCCAGCTCACGATGCTAGATTCCAAACACAAATCGCAGACTAAATAACACCACAATTCCCGGAACGTGATTGTAACGCGACAAAAGGGTGAATAAATGAAACAGAGCAACGAGAGATCGGGACAAGAAGAATCAAAGCACATCGTGCGGCTCGCAATTAACATCTAGAGATTTAATGAAACCCCTCGAGGCA